CCCACTCACCCACAAACCACCCACCCACTCACCCACAAACCCACCCACCCACCCACTCACCACAAACCCACCCAACCACACACTCACCCCACTAACCCACCCACCCACCCACTCACCCACAAACCCACCCACCCACCCACTCACCCACAAACCCACCCAACCACACACTCACCCACAACCCACCCAACCACCCACTCACTCACCCACAAACCCACCCAACCACACACTCACCCACAAACCCACCCAACCACACACTCACTCACCCACAAACCCACCCAACCACACACTAACCCACTAACCCACCCACCCACCCACTCACCCACAAACCCACCCACCCACTCACCCACAAAATCCACCCACCCACTCACCCACAAACCCACCCACCCACTCACCCACAAACCCACCCACCCACCCACTCACCCACAAACCCACCCACCCACCCACTCACCCACAAACCCACCCACCCACTCACCCACAAACCCACCCACCCACCACTCACCCACAAACCCACCCACCCACTCACTCACCCACAAACCCACCCAACCACACACTCACCCACAAACCCACCCAACCACACACTCACTCACCCACAAACCCCCCAACCACACACTCACCCACTAACCCACCCACCCACCCACTCACCCACAAACCCACCCCACCCACCCACTCACCCACAAACCCCACACACTCACTCACCCACAAACCCACCCAACCACACACTCACCCACTAACCCACCCACCACCCACTCACCCACAAACCCACCCACCCACTCACCCCAAAACCCACCCAACCACACACTCACCCACAAACCCACCTAACCACCCACTCACATCACCCACAAACCCACCCAAACCACACACTCACCCACAAACCCACCCAACCACCCACTCACTCACCCACAAACCCACCCAACCACACACTCACTCACCCACAAACCCACCCAACCACACACACACCCACTAACCCACCCACCCACTCACCCACAAACCCACCCACCCACTCACCCACAAACCCACCCACCCACCCACTCACCCACAAACCCACCCACCACACACTCACCCACTAACCCACCCACCCACCCACTCACCCACAAACCCACCCACCCACCCACTCACCCACAAACCCACCCAACCACCACACTCACCCACAAACCCACCCAACCACCAACCACTCACTCACTCACAAACCCACCACCAAAATCACTCACCCACACCCCACACACTCACATCACCCACTAAACCCACCCAACCACACACTCACCCACTAAAGACCCACCCCGACCCACTCACCCACAAACCCACCCACCCACCCATCACCCACAAAACCCACACCAACCAGTCCACACTCACCCCTAACCCCAACCCCCACTCAACCACAAAACCACCTCTCACCCCCTAACTCCACAAATCCCACCCAACCACACACTCACTCCACAAAACCCACCCAACCACCCACTCACTCACCCACAAACCCACCCAACCACAACACTCACCCACAAACCCACCCCAACCAAACCACTTCACTTCACCCACAAACCCACTCCAACACCACACACCTAACCCACTAAAACCCACCCCAACCACAACCCACTCACCCACAAACCACCCAACCCATCACACTGACCCACTAAACCTATCCACCCACGCCACGCACCCACAAACCCACCCACACACTCACCCACAAAATTCCACCCACGCCACTCCACTCACCCACAAACCCACCCACCCACTCACCCACAAACCCACCCACCCACCCACTCACCCACAAACCCACCCACCCACCCACTCACCCACAAACCCACCCACCCACTCACCCACAAACCCACCCACCCACCCACTCACCCACAAACCCACCCAACCACACACTCACTCACCCACAAACCCACCCACCCACCCACTCACTCACCCACAAACCCACCCACCCACCCACTCACCCACAAACCCAACCACCCACTCACTCACCCACAAACCCACCCAACCACACACTCACCCACAAACCCACCCAACCACACACTCACTCACCCACAAACCCACCCAACCACACACTCACCCACAAACCCACCCAACCACACACTCACTCACCCACAAACCCACCCAACCACTACCACCCACTCACTCACCCACAAACCCACCCAACCACACACTCACCCACAAACCCACCCAACCACACACTCACTCACCCACAAACCCACCCAACCACACACTCACCCACTAACCCACCCACCCACTCACCCACAAACCCACCCACTCACCCACAAACCCACCTACCCACTCACCCACCCACCCACCCACTCACCCACAAACTCACCCAACCACACACTCACCCACTAACCCCCCACCCACCACTCACCCACTACCCCCCACCCACCCACTCACCCACAAACCCACCCAACCACACACTCACCCACAAACCCACCCAACCACCCACTCACTCACCCACAAACCCACCCAACCACACACTCACCCACAAACCCACCCAACCACACACTCACTCACCCACAAACCCACCCAACCACACACTCACCCACTAACCCACCCCACCCACTCACCCACAAACCCACCCACCCACCCACTCACCCACAAACCCACCCAACCCAACACTCACCCACAAACCCACCCACCACCCACTCACTCACCCACAAACCACCCAACCACACACTCACCCACAAACCCACCCAACCACACACTCACTCACCCACAAACCCACCCAACCACACACTCACCCACTAACCCACCCACCCACCCACTCACCCACAAACCCACCCACCCACCCACTCACCCACAAACCCACACACTCACTCACCCACAAACCCACCCAACCACACACTCACCCACTAACCCACCCACCCACCCACTCACCCACAAACCCACCCACTCACCCACAAATCCACCCAACCACACACTCACCCACAAACCCACCCAACCACCCACTCACTCACCCACAAACCCACCCAACCACACACTCACCCACTAACCCACCCACCCACCCACTCACCCACAAACCCACCACCCACTCACCCACAAACCCACCCACCCACCCACTCACCCACAAACCCACCCACCCACTCACCCACAAACCCACCCACCCACTCACCCACAAACCCACCCACTCACCCACAAACCCACCCAACCACACACTCACTCACCACAAACCCACCCACCCACCCACTCACTCACCCACAAACCCACCCACCCACTCACCCACAACCCACCCAACCACACACTCACTCACCCACAAACCCACCCACCCACCCACTCACTCATCCACAAACCCACCCCACCCACTCACTCACCCACAAACCCACCCAACCACACACTCACCCACAAACCCACCCAACCACACACTCACTCACCCACAAACCCACCCACCCACCCACTCACCCACAAACCCACCCACCCACCCACTCACTCACCCACACACCCACCCACCCACTCACTCACCCACAAACCCACCCAACCACTCACTCACCCACAAACCCACCCAACCACTCACTCACCCACAAACCCACCCACCCACTCACTCACCCACAAACCCACCCAACCACACACTCACTCACCCACAAATCCACCCAACCACCCACTCACCCACAAACCCACCCAACCACACACTCACTCACCCACAAACCCACCCACCCACTCACTCACCCACAAACCCACCCACCCACTCACTCACCCACAAACCCACCCAACAACACACTCACCCACAAACCCACCCAACCACACACTCACCCACAAACCCACCCAACCACACACTCACTCACCCACAAACCCACCCCACCCACCCACTCACCCCAAACCCACCCACCTACCCACTCACTCACCCACAAACCCACCCACCCACTCACTCACCCACAAACCCACCCAACCACTCACTCACCCACAAACCCACCCAACCACTCACCCACAACCCACCCACCCAACCACTCACCCACAAACCCACCCAACCACACACTCACCCACAAACCCACCACCCACCCACCCACTCACACACCCACAAACCCACCCACCCACCCACTCACCCACAAACCCACCCACCCACCCACTCACTCACCCACAAACCCACCCAACCACACACTCACTCACCCACAAACCCACCCACCTACCCACTCACCCACAACCCACCCAACCACACACTCACTCACCCACAAACCCACCCAACCACACACTCACTCACCCACCAACCCACCCAACCACACACTCACCCACAAACCCACCCAACCACACACTCACCCACAAACCCACCCAACCACTCACCCACAAACCCACCCACCCACCACACTCACCCACAAACCCACCCCAACCACTCACCCACAAACCCACCCACCCACACACTCACCCACAAACCCACCCAACCACACACTCACCCACAAACCCACCCAACCACACACTCACCCACAAACCCACCCAACCACTCACCCACAAACCCACCCACCCACACACTCACCCACAAACCCACCCAACCACACACTCACACCACAAATCCACCCAACCACACACTCACCCACAAACCCACCCAACCACACACTCACCCACAAACCCACCCAACCACACACTCACCCACAAACCCACCCACCCACTCACCCACAAACCCACCCAACCACCCACTCACTCACCCACAAACCCACCCACCACACACTCACTCACCCACAAACCCACCCACCACACACTCACTCACCCACAAACCCACCCAACCACACACTCACTCGCCAAACTGCAGGGTCCCTACGCTTCTCCGTTCACCTTTGGAATTCCCGGCGAACGTCCGTTGGCGCAATCCTGAACCAGGCTCTGCCACCTCCGCCTGGACAGTTCCCGGTGCGGTGTGCAATCATCATTGCTGGGGAGACAAAGGCGGCCGGGCAGGGTGCTGGCCACGTTGCGCCGTGTCGTCCTTCATTGGTGGCACTCGCTAAGAGCTCTCGCACCAACAGCCTGCGCAGGCTACACGGGAGAGCTTTGCCTTTTGTCCCGTTCACACGCCGCTCGTTTCTCGTCTGCAGGATGGGCTGCGTCGATTGTCGGGAAACGACTTCATTCTCTCCAAGAGTGAGTTTCATTCAAATCACATTCATTCATTCATTCCCATCGATCGTTCTGTCTTCACTCGCCGGGCCCTGTGTGAGTGAGGAGGCGAGCGCGCTGGGTGAATGAATGATTTGATGAATGAATAATTATTATAATCAATGAATACACTACTTCATGAGTGACTTCCCTGAGTGAACGCATCGCCCGGTGGACTGCCGCCACGTGCGTTTGTGGGTGACGCTGAATGACGTGCTGACTAAATGAACGAATGAGTTGACGAGCGAATGACTCGCCCCCGTGCGGACGCGCGCTATGCTCAGATCCCACTGCGCACACTCCGCCTCTCTGCCTGAGCGACTAAGTCGGTTGACGAGCCGGGTTCGCCTAATGAATTGACACGGAGCGGGCGTCTACTCCGCCCCCGCGTGCAGACGTGCACCACGCACAGAGTCCCCTGCGTGTGCCCACGGCGCCGGCGACGGGCGACGCGGCGGGGCCGCCCCCTCGCGTCGTCGAGGCGCTCGGCTTCGAGGACCGCTGGGACTTCGACATCTTCGAGGCGGAGAACGTGACGCACAAGAGGTGACGCGCAGGGCACGCGCGGGGGGTGGGGGCGGCGGGGAGATGCGCGCGTGTGCGTGCGTGCGTGCTAACCGCGTGTGTGCGTGTACGTGCGTGCGCGCGCGAGTCAGGCCGCTCGTGTACCTGGGCCTCAAGGTGTTTGCGCGCTTCGGGGTGTGCGACTTCCTGGGCTGCTCGGAGGCGACGCTGCGCTCGTGGCTGTCCCTCATCGAGGCCAACTACCACTCGAGCAACTCGTACCACAACTCCACGCACGCCGCCGACGTGCTGCACGCCACCGCGTACTTCCTGCGCAAGGAGCGGGTCAAGGTACCGCCTAACTACCGCCTAACTACCGCCTAACTACCGCCTAACTACCGCCTAACTACCGCCTAACTGCCACTCGAGCAACTCGTACCGCAACTCCACGCACGCCTCCGACGTGCTGCACGCCACCGCGTACATAGGCAGCGCCCAACTACCACCAATCTACCACTTAACTACCACCCAGCTACCACTCAGCTACCACTTAACCACCACTAAACTACCACCTAACTACCATTTAACTCCCCTCCCTGCCTCCCTCCTCCTCCTGCTGCCGCTGCCACTATCGCTGCCGCACCACCGCTGCCGCTGCTGCACCACCGCTGCCACCACCGCTGCCACCACCGCTGCCACCACCGCTGCTGCACCACCGCTGCTGCACCACCGCTGCCACTATCGCTGCCGCACCACCGCTGCCACCACCGCTGCCGCACCACCGCCTCTGCCACCAAATCCTCGCTCCTCGGGGCTCGCCGGCTCCCCCCTCTCCCCCACCCCCCCCCCCCCACCCCCCCCCCAACCGCGCTCACCGCGTCCCAGGCGTGCCTCGACCAGTGCGACGAGGTGGCGGCGCTCATCGCGGCGACGGTGCACGACGTGGACCACCCGGGGCGCACCAACTCGTTCCTGTGCAACGCGGGCAGCGAGCTGGCGGTGCTCTACAACGACACGGCCGTGCTGGAGAGCCACCACGCGGCGCTCGCCTTCCAGCTGAGCACGCGCGACGACAAGGGCAACATCTTCCGCAACATGGAGAGGTGGGGCACCGCGGGAGAGTGACGGGGAACGAGGGCGGTGGCGTGCGCGGGGGGAGACGGGGAGGGCAACTCGGAGAGAGGCGGGGCACCGAACGAAGAGGCGATGAGGAGGGTGGTGGTGGTGCAGCGACGACGGTGATGGTGGTTGCAGCGACGATGGGTGGCGGTGGTCACGGCGGTGATGCGCGTGCGTAGGTTGAACGTCTTTCGCGCCGTGCGTCGCCAATCGCGCTAACTTGGAGGCGTGCGACGTCTACCCCGTGTCTCACCCGTGTGACGGTGCCGTGGTGATGGCGATGGTGGTCATTACACGCCGCAAAATTAATCACCGTGGCGATGGTGGTGTTGTGCCCCTGTGTCCCCGCATCTCCACGCCTCCGTGTCTCCGTGTGCCTCCGTGTCTCCGTGTGCGTCCCCGCGTGGCAGGAGCGATTTCCGCACGCTGCGCCAGGCCATCATTGACATGGTGCTGGCCACGGAGATGACGAAGCACTTTGAGCACGTCAACAAGTTCGTGAACAGCATCAACAAGCCGGGAGGGGGAGCGGACGACGCTGCCTCCGTGGTGCGCACCCCACAATCACCCCACAATCACCACACAATCACCACACAATCACCCCACACTCACCACACACTCACCCCACACTCACCCCACACTCACCACACACTCACCACACACTCACCACACACTCACCACACACTCACCACACACTCACCCTGCACTCACCCTGCTCCTGCACCCCACACTCACCCCACACTCACCCCACACTCACCCCACAATCACCCCACACTCACCCCACACTCACCCCACACTCACCCCACACTCACCCCACACTCACCACACACTCACCCCACACTCACCCCACACTCACCCCACAATCACCCCACACTCACCCCACACTCACCCCACACTCACCCCACACTCACCCCACACTCACCCCACAATCACCCCACAATCACCACACAATCACCCCACACTCACCCTGCACTCACCCCACACTCACCACACACTCACCACACACTCACCCTGCACCTGCACCCCACAATCACCCCACACTCACCCCACACTCACCCCACACTTACCCCACACTCACCCCACACTCACCCCACACTCACCCCACACTCACCCCACAATCACCCTGCCCCTGCACCCCACTCACCCCACACTCACCCCACACTCACCCCACACTTACCCCACACTCATCCCACACTCACCCCACACTCACCCTGCTCCTGCACCCCACACTCACCCCACAATCACCCCACACTCACCCTGCACCCCACACTCACCCCACACTCACCCTGCACCTGCACCCCACTCACCCCACACTCACCCCACACTCACCCCACACTTACCCCACACTCACCCCACACTCACCCCACACTCACCCCACACTCACCCTGCTCCTGCACCCCACACTCACCCCACAATCACCCACACTCACCCTGCACCCACACTCACCCCACACTCACCCTGCACCTGCACCCCACTCACCCCACACTCACCCCACACTCACCCCACACTCACCCCACACTCACCCTGCTCCTGCACCCCACACTCACCCCACACTCACCCCACACTCACCCTGCTCCTGCACCCCACACTCACCCCGCACTCACCCTGCTCCTGCACCCCACACTCACCCCACACTCACCCCACACTCACCCCACACTCACCCCACACTCACCCCACACTCACCCTGCCCCCGCACCCCCTATATCTCCCCACGTCTCACCCATGTCTCACCAATGCCCCACCCGTGTCTCTCGTCCCTCCCCCCCACGTCCTCCCCCATGCAGAATGGTGGGGGAGGGGAGGGGGAGTCGATGGGCCCTGGTTGCTCCCCGGAGAGCCGCCTGCTCATCAAGCGCATGCTCATCAAGTGCGCCGACATCTCCAACCCGTGCCGCCCTCTGCCGCTGTGCGTTGAGTGGGCGGGGCGCATCTCCGAGGAGTACTTCGCTCAGGTACCAACGCACTACCAGAACTACCACACTACCAGTACCACCACACTACCAGTACCACTGCACTACCAGCACCGCAGCAATGCCAGTACCACCACACTACCAGAACCACCACACTACCAGTACCAATCCACTACCAGTACCACCACACTACCAGAACCACCACACTACCAGTACCAATCCACTACCAGTACCACCACACTACCAGTACCACCACACTACCAGAACCAATCCACTACCAGTACCACCACACTACCAGTACCACCACACTACCAGTACCACCACACTACCAGTACCACCACAGTACCACCACACTACCAGAACCAATCCACTACCAGTACCACCACACTACCAGTACCACTGCACTACCAGTACCACCACACTACCAGAACCAATCCACTACCAGTACCACCACACTACCAGTACCAACCACCACACTACCAGAACCAATCCACTACCAGTACCACCACACTACCAATACCAATGCACTACCGCTCGACCAGTACCAACACACTACCAGAACCACCGCACTACCAGTACCACCACACTACCAGTACCACCACACTACCAGTACCACCACACTACTAGAACCAATCCACTACCAGTACCACCACACTACCAGTACCACCACACTACCAGTACCACTGCACTACCGCTCGACCAGTACCAACACACTACCAGTACCAATCCACTACCAGTACCACCACACTACCAGTACCACCACACTACCAATACCAATGCACTACCGCTCGACCAGTACCAACACACTACCAGAACCAATCCACTACCAGTACCACCACACTACCAGTACCACCGCACTACCGCTCGACCAGTACCAACACACTACCAGAACCACCGCACTACCAGTAACACTGCACTACCGCACTACCACTCACTACCACCACACTACCAAAACCGCTGCACTACCGCACTACCAGTACCACCACACTACCAGAACCAACCCACTACCAGAACCACAGCACTACCAAAACCACTGCACTACCGCACTACCAGAACCAATCCACTACCAGTACCACCACACTACCAGTACCACTGCACTACCACTCGACCAGAACCACCACTACCAGTACCACTGCACTACCGCACTACCAGTACCACCACACCACCAGAACCACCACACTACCAGTACCACTGCACTACCGCACTACCAGTACCACCAAACTACCAGCACTACCAGTGCTAGGGTACGACCGTGATACTGATGATGACGACGCTGGTGGTGATGGTGAAAACAACATGGCGAATGGTGTTGTTGATGCTGATAACAAAGATGATGATTAACACGTAGGCTTTGGCGACCAATATCATCCATAATAGAGGTTTTTTGGGTTAGTTCGCATAAATATATAAATGTTGTGTCGTTAAACCCGCCACCACCCAACACAGCCAACTAGTAAGGGTTGTCAAGTAAACAGAACGTGGCCAATTCATCACTAGTACAGCACACCGGTGTGTTGGAGGGCCAAGCCACAACATTTACAATCCGAGTACGACGTTTCGCCAGTAATTACAACCTGCTTCATCAGGCGAGACAGCCAGATTTGTGGAGAAGTCCACCTACGCCTCTATATAAGGTGATGATGTTGATGAAGGTGATGATGTTGATGAAGGTGATGATGTTGATGAAGGTGATGATGTTGATGATGGCGGTGGCGATGATGATGGTGATGTTCATGATAGTGGTGGTGATGGTGATGATAATGACGGCGGTGATGTTGATGACGGTGGTGATGTTGATGATGATGGCGGTGATGATGGTGATGTTCATGATAGTGGTGGTGATGATAATGACGGCGGTGATGTTGATGACGGTGGTGATGTTGATGATGACGGTGGTGATGATGATGGCGGTGATGATGGTGATGTTCATGATAGTGGTGGTGGCGGTGATGATAATGACGGCGGTGATGTTGATGACGGTGGTGATGTTGATGATGGTGGTGGTGATGATGATGGCGGTGATGATGGTGATGTTCATGATAGTGGTGGTGATGGTGATGATAATGACGGCGGTGATGTTGATGACGGTGGTGATGTTGATGATGGCGGTGGTGATGATGATGGCGGTGATGATGGTGATGTTCATGATAGTGGTGGTGATGGTGATGATAATGACGGCGGTGATGTTGATGACGGTGGTGATGTTGATGATGACGGTGGTGATGTTGATGATGACGGTGGTGATGATGATGGCGATGATGATGGTGATGTTCATGATAGTGGTGGTGATGGTGATGATAATGACGGCGGTGATGTTGATGACGGTGGTGATGGTGGCGTGCGCCGCAGACGGATGAGGAGAAGCGCAAGGGGCTGCCCGTGGTGATGCCGGTGTTTGACCGCTCCTCCTGCAGCATCCCCAAGTCCCAGATCTCCTTCATCGACTACTTCATCAGCGACATGTTCGACGCCTGGGACGGTGAGAGCCGCGGGGCTCCCGCGGGGTCATCGGGGGGGGGGTCGTCGAGGGGTCACGGGGACACGGAGACGTGGGAACGCGTGGCTGGGGACACGGAGACCGGGAGGATTGCAGGGTCACGGGGGACGGGGGGACACGGGGACTTTGAGAGACGATGGCGCGGGGGTCACGGGGGACGAGGGGACGGAGGGACACGGGGTCAACCGGAACACGGGATGCCAGGGTCCCGGAGATACGGGGATGAGGGGACGGACACAGCGCCGTGTAGACAGGGGACACGGGGACACCGTTCCATCAGTCGGGCCCCCGTTATTGAGCCGGTGTTTACACCAATATTGAGTTCTTCCCAGAACCTTTTCTCCGAGAGGATCCGATATGCGTTGTTGCTTACTGTCGGCGTTGTTGGTTGTCGTCTGTGTTGGTTTGCGCAGCGTTTGCCGACCTCCCTGACCTCATGGAGCACCTGGGGCAGAATTACCGCTACTGGAAGGGCATGGACGAGCAGCAACTCAAGACGCTGCGACCTCCGCCCCCGCAGTGACGCACGCAAACACGCCGGCGCGGACGGGGAACGGACACGCGGACGCACTCGCACCTGGACCGCAACAACAACAACAACAACAGTCGCCATTCGCCACCGAGTGGCGGCAACGTGACTACGACGCGCGGCGTGCGCGCCAGGCTGGGTGCACTCTGAGGCTGTGACTTGGGGGTGCGCAAGGCGCTCGCCGCTGCTGCTGGCGGGGAGGTCACGGGACAGACCCAGGTGCTATGGGTTGACTGCGAGAGGACTGGCAGATGGCCTCTGCCCATGTTTCCCGCTGTACCACTTAGCATGTGTTATCCGGCCGGCGCTCCGCTGGACGTTGTGTGCGTGTTGCTCCTCCTCCTCCCTCCGTCGTTACTGTTGTTGTTGTTGCTGTTGTTGTTGTTGTTGCTGCAACAGACGGACGGCCACGTGGACCGAAACAATGACGGCCAAGGGGAAGGACGGGCGTGGAAATAGACACGGGGCACACGGACGTACGCACACCGTCCCTCCGTCCGTCTCCCCCCGGCCTGTCTTCGCCCCCCCCACCAAAGCATTTGTTTGACGCTCCGTCTACCTGCACAGGATTCTGTCCCAGTCTCGGTTTTCAACACGTCCGTCCGTCCGTCCGTCAGTCAGCACTTTGGACCGCACGTCCACGAGTCTTTCCGTCCGTCCGTTCATCTGAAATGCACTGGCAGGAGAAACCCGGGCGATGAACATCGTCGCTTGGCCAATTCATTATTTTTATTTTAAAGAAACTGTGAATGCGTTTGCAATGGCGCGAGAGAGAGAGAGTGAGCGTAAGCGGCGTGTGGGGTGTGTGTGCAGTGAGTGCAGTGAGTGCAGAGTGTGTAGGGTGAGCAGGATGAGCAGGATGAGCAGGGTATGGAGGGTGTGCAGGGTGTGTAGGGTGTGCAGGGAGTGCAGGGAGTGTAGGGTGTGCAGGGTGTGTAGGGTGTGCAGGATGAGCAGGGTATGGAGGGTGTGTAGGGTGTGCAGGGAGTGTAGGGTGTGCAGGGTGTGTAGGGAGTGTAGGGTGAGCAGGGTGTGCAGGGTATGGAGGGTGTGCAGGGAGTGCAGGTGGTGCAGGGTGTGTAGGGTGTGCAGGGTGTGCAGGGTGTGTAGGGTGTGCAGGGTGTGCAGGTGGTGCAGGGTGTGTAGGGTGTGCAGGGTGTGCAGGGCGTGCGTCGGTGCTGCTGCCGGTCCGTCCGCTCGCCCTCAGAATGGACGAGCGATTTCCGTCGCGGCAGGATACAAAAAAAGTGGAATTCACTTTCTGCCGAATTTCTTTTCCCGGATTCGGAATGCGTCCGTTCCGTGTGTACGTGTCTGTCGCGCTGTCCCCCCTCTCCCCCATCACCCCCCCCCCCTCCGTCAGGCGGGCACCCCCCCTGCCGCCCCCCTCACCCGTCAGTCTGTCACCCCTCCTCACACCTCCTCTTCACCCCCCTTCACCCCCCCCCTCCACCCTCCCTCCACCCCCCCCTCCACCCCCCCTCCACCCCCCCTCCACCCCCCCCTCCACCCCCTCCCCCCCTCACACCGCTTCGCCCCCCCCTCCACCCCCTCCCCCCCTCACACCCCCCTCCCCCCCCCCTCCACCCCCTCACACCGCTTCACCCCCCCCTCCCCTCCACCCCTCTTCCCATCTGTGGTGACGTCACTGTCAATGATTTTAGTCGATACGAAACGGAAAAGGCCGACGACGAAATGCGACAAAGATGATGATGATGATGATAAAATAGCTACATAAACTATATGTAATATATAGAGGAAGGGAAAAAAAGATAATTTTTGTAAAGTATATATATAATTAACACGCAAGACAAAAAAATGCGGACAAAAGTTCGACGTTTAGATTTAAATGCGTCGCCTGGCTGAATTTTAATCGACGGACCGTTACAAGCCCAGCGGCGTGATGTGCACCTATGCCTTATTTTGTACAATATTTATATACATTCCATTGCTAACAAAAATAAAAATGTAAAAAAACGGGTTGCGAAAAAAATTTCAAAACATTTTCAGCTGTAAAGGAGAATTAATTATGAAGCGTTAATAAAATTATTATTATTATGAAAAGATGAGCGGAGCAAACGACTATTGATGACGATGTTGAATGATTGTGTGGTGGTGGTGGTACCAGAGAAGGGGCACCCACGGTGGCTGAGATGTTGACTACCTCGCCTGGTCTGCAGGAGGTCGTGGGTTCAATCCCGACCCTGACGCCTGCTGTGTATTTTAAGTTTGCGTGTCTCTGATCATCATCATCACGGTGGCTGAGATGTTTACTACCTCGCCTGGTGTGCAGGAGATCGTGGGTTCGATCCTGACCCTGACGCCTGCTGTATATTTGAAGTTTGGGTGTCTCTCTCTCTCTCATCATCATCACGGTGGCTAGGAGATGTTAACTACCTCGCCTGGTGTACAGGAGATCGTGGGTTCAATCCTGACCCTGACGCCTGCTGTGTATTTTAAGTTTGCGTGTCTCTCATCATCATCACGGTGGCTGAGATGTTAACTACCTCGCCTGGACTGCAGGAGATCGTGGGTTCGATCCCGACCCTGACGCCTGCTGCTGTATATTTGAAGTTTGGGTGTGTCTCTCTCTCTCCGTGGTCGCGTGGAATTTTTCTCCGGGTCCTCAAGTTTTCCCCTCCACATTTAGAAACACGCCTTTTAGAGTTTTTGGGGTTTGCTATAAATTTGCACGTGGCGGTTAGGCCATTTCGTAGAGCTATAATCTGTGGCCAGGTCGCTTCTGAAAAAGAGCTCTGTGGCTGGGTGGCCCTGAGCTGGTAAAATAACAAAAAGTTTAAATTTTTTAGGAGGGTCAAGGCTCAAGATCTCGTGAACGACGGGGCCGCCCGTGAGGCTGGTACCGCCTCTGGGGAACTCCTCAACCCCTCGTGAAGGAGCCGTGCTGCTCACCGATGCATGAGGGTCTAGGACTCGAGGTGAAGGTCGCAGTCCTCGCTTGTATAGCAAAGACAACCGGTCAACCAACCTACATGGGTGATGCCATCCACCCACAGGTAGCACCACGTCACCTACAAACCTGGTACGGTCAACCAACCTACATGGGTGATGCCATCCACCCACAGGTAGCACCACGTCACCTACACAACCTGGTACGGTCAACCAACCTACATGGGTGATGCCATCCACCCACAGGTAGCACCACGTCACCTACTCACCTGGTACGGTCAACCAACCTACATGGGTGATGCCATCCACCCGCAGGTACCATCACGTCACCTACACACCTGGTACGGTCAACCAACCTACATGGGTGATGCCATCCACCCACAGGTAGCACCACGTCACCTACACACCTGGTACGTCAACCAACCTACATGGGTGATGGCATCCACCCACAGGTAGCACCACGTCACCTACACACCTGGTACGGTCAACCAACCTACATGGGTGATGCCATCCACCCGCAGGTACCATCACGTCACCTACACACCTGGTACGGTCAACCAACCTACATGGGTGATGCCATCCACCCGCAGGTACCATCACGTCACCTACACACCTGGTACGTCAACCAACCTACATGGGTGATACCATTCACCCACAGGTACCATCACGTCACCTACACACCCGGTACGGTCAACCAACCTACATGGGTGATACCATTCACCCGCAGGTACCATCACGTTACCTACAAACCTGGTACGGTCAACCAACCTACATGGGTGATGCCATCCACCCGCAGGTACCACCACGTCACCTACACACCTGGTACGGTCAACCAACCTACATGGGTGATACCATTCACCCACAGGTACCACCACGTCACCTACACACCTGGTACGGTCAACCAACCTACATGGGTGATACCATTCACCCGCAGGTACCATCACGTCACCTACACACCTGGTACGGTCAACCAACCTACATGGGTGATACCATTCACCCGCAGGTAGCACCATGTCACCTACACACCTGGTACGGTCAACCAACCTACATGGGTGATACCACCCACCCACAGGTACCATCACGTCACCTACACACCTGGTACGGTCAACCAACCTACATGGGTGATACCATTCACCCACAGGTACCATCACGTCACCTACACACCTGGTACGGTCAACCAACCTACATGGGTGATACCATTCACCCACAGGTACCATCACGTCACCTACACACCTGGTACGGTCAACCAACCTACCTGGGTGATGCCATCCACCCGCAGGTACCACCACGTCACCTACACACCTGGTACGGTCAACCAACCTACATGGGTGATACAATCCACCCACAGGTACCATCACAATACCTACACCCATCTGGCATGGACCTGCTGCTGTTTCAGATCCACTGGCCTTAGGCCAGTCAAACGAGCTGTTCATCTGCAGCCCCATGTGGTCTGGTGGATGTCTGTGCCCCACTGAAGTACGGCCAAACAATCCCCATGACCAACGCGGCAAATGGGGGGTGGGGGCGGGAGGGAGGGAGGGAGGCCTTCATCCAGCAGTGGATCGACAAAGGGCTTTGAAAAAAGGTACATTGATGGCGCTGAACATTGATGGCGCTGAACATTGATGGTGTTGTTCCGGCTGCGTCGTCACTGGGCGTCGGGACGTGAACGTACCTCACCACGCCGGTCAGCGGGGGTTGGTGAAGATACCCGCCTCCTCAACTGGAATGTAATCCCGATTACTCGAGTAATCCGATTACTCGAGTAATCCGATTATCGGTTCCGTTGGTCGAACCGATCGGACGGCACGAAAACAGTTCGGGGGGGGAAAAAAAAAGAGGGACAAAAAGCCTCACCTCTTTCCCCCCACACGTGCCGCTGGACGGGAGGTGATGGGTGGGGCTTGGTGACGTCATCGGCAGTGCCACCACGCTGGGCGCGGCTTTTCCGCAGTGTCCGAATTTATTTTTAATGACATCACGGGATCTTTAATGGCCACTGCGATTAATCGTCATCATCGTCATCGTCGACCGTGATCGATCCACTGCTTGATGAAGGCCCACCCCCAAGCGGCCGCCGCGTCTCGCAATCTTGCGATGCAATAATCCACGTTACGTGACGCCGCCGGCGTGAAAGCAGCGTTCAACGGGGCCACTCGTCACATTTGTTGGCGATGTGTGGTATTTGTTTTATTGTTCTTATTATTATCTACAAATCTCGTCGTCACTCTTACACGAGCACTGGGAGAGAGATGCCCGACGCCCCCCGCTGATCGACCACGCTCGCTCGCTCGCACGCACGCACGCACCAGGTTCAGAGATTGAATCGGGATTCTCGGGAAGTCTGCTCGGCTCTCCGGGAGGCAGCGGTCAAAGTTGGACGGACGAGTTGAAGAGAGAGATCCTGGGGGGAGGAATCTCCTCCAACTCGCTGATGCTGCTGCTGATGTTGACGTCGTTGGGTGATCTCGCTGCTGTACGAGCTGCTGCTGCTGCTGCTTCTGGTGTTTGTGTTTCCGCTTCTGCTTCTGCTGTTGGTTACTGATGCTGTTGATGCTGCTGCTGCTGCTGTTGATCATGATGATGCTGCTGATGCTACCGCTGTTGATGCGGCTTCTGCTACTGTTGATAACAATGCTCCTGATGCTGCTGTTGGCATCGATGCTGCTGCTGCTGCTGCTGCTCTTGGTGGTGCTGCTGCTGCTGCTCTCGACGCTAATCCCGCTGGCCTTGCTCGGATGCCGGCACAAACGGCACCACGTGCATGGGGACGCGCACCGTGTCGAGGCCGTTGAACTGCGGGAGAAACACGCGAGCGAGTAAAACGCAGAGCGGGGGAGGCGCGCGTGGGCTGCGCGGCTGGCTCATAATGTTGAGTACGGTGAGCCGGCACCGCCCAGACGATGGGTTCAACCCCCGAGGGCTCTCGGTGGATTCAAAATTGCCGTGTCCCGAGCTCCAACTCTAAAGGGGGGGGGGGGGGGGGGTGGGGGGCAGGGGTGGGTATCTTTTGTGGGGTCCATAACGGCTGTGTCAGGGACGCTGGCACCAGGGGGCAATGATAAATATTTGGTTCACCCAATGAGTCAGGGTATCGGTGGGTTCACAATGGCCGAGTTAGAGTGACCGAGCCGGCGTCTCCGAGATCCTGGGGCTGCCTATGTGCCTCTCTCAGGAGGTTCATAATGGCCGTGTCAGATCCAATGGAGCAAGCATTGGTGAGGTTCTGAGTTCAAAGTCTGTGATTTCACCAGGTTAAGGAAACTCACTTGCAACACAAAGCGCAAAAAGTCAGATCGCCCCGAATCCACAGCGCGCCACTGGTGCCCGAACGGACAGGTCAGCTGATTGCGTGGGCAGCGCGCGTGACCTTACCGTGACCTCGCACCAGTACTCCCCGAAGCGCGTGATTGGCTCGTCCGGCAGCTTGAGGGCGTGGGACGCCACGAAGACTCCCAGCTGGAATCATCCGACGGGAGAAACGGGTCAACGTCATAGATTCATAGGTCATATGGCAAAGTGCGGTGTAGACAGTGGGTTTTCTATATCCTTAGGAATCATCGGCGCAGCGCGGCACTGCCGCCCTAAGCAAAGTCACGGTGGGAATGTGGGGTGGCGATCGGCTTCCTGTCGACGGCTCGGAGCCCAGTGGTGGAAATTCCACATTCACGTGGCAGGGATTGTGTATCTTCGGTACTCAATGTATTGGTCCTGGAAGAATGATCGGTCGAGTCGACCTCCGACCGGCATTTGACCTCGCGACCTTTCGGTCGCGAGCCGAACGGCAATAACCGCTGGCCATCCGCTCGGCTAATGGACTGGGACTTTGCCCTGACTGGGACTTATCGGGGCAGTGCAGGGGGAGCGTGAGGCACCCACGTTTCTCTCGAACCGTCGTTGCACGATCTCCTCCGTCAGCTGCCACTCGGCGTCCGCTTTTATCTGCACCTCAAAGCGAGAGCTCTTCAGATGCTCCATGGTCTAAGGGGGGGGGGAAGGGGGAACATAGACATAGAGGAGGGAGAGAGGGGGTAGAGAGAGAGGGGGTACAGAGAGAGGGAAGGGGTAAGAAGGAGGAGAGCAGAGCGTGAAATCTTTTGTGAAATCTTTCATTTAAAAAGGGGAGGGGGGGAGCACACAAAGCAAAGCATTGAAAAAAAATAAACGAAATGATGAACGAAGCAAAGTGCCGCCAACACCGAGCATCTTCTTGTTTCCTCCAATCGTCAAAAAAAAAGGAGCGGAGGGAGGGAGGGACGTGATGGAGGGAGAGCAGAGGGAGGGAGGGCAGAGGGAGGGAGGGCAGAGGGAGGGAGGGCAGAGGGCAGGAGGGCAGAGGGAGGGAGGGCAGAGGGCGGGAGGGCAGAGGGCGGGAGGGCAGAGGGAGGGAGGGCAGAGGGCAGAGGGCAGAGGGAGCGGAGGGAGGGAGCGGAGGGCAGAGGGAGGGGTCTATTAGGCAGCCCCTTGGAGGAAGGAGTTGGTGGATCGTGCAGCGATCGTCATCACCGTCACCCACGAAGAAGAGACTCCCAACATGCCAGGGGCTGACGAGGTTGCCAGGAGATGGCAGTGCGTGGCTGAGCTGTCTATATAATTGGATGGGGTCCGGTATTCTCCACGTGACCCTGACGGACATGTTTGGCTCCGCCTCCCAGCGCCCCCACCCCCCACCGTACCCCAAGCCGACGTCTCACCTGCAGCGCTGTCCAGGTCTGCGTCGTGTCCTCTTTGGCTGTGGCCGGGTTAAGCTGAGGGGGAGGGGAGTTGCGGGGGGAGTGGGGAGGGGTCCCAAAAGTAAAAGCACAGATCAGTCCACTCACCCATACTCACCCTTACACTCACCCATACTCACCCTTACACTCACCCACTCACACACTCAGCCTTACACTCACACACTCACCCATACTCACCCTTACATTCACCCATACTCACCCTTACACTCACCCATACTCACCCTTACACTCACCCTTACACTCACCCACTCACCCTTACACTCACCCATACTCACCCACTCACACACTCACCCACTCACATACTCACCCATACTCACCCTTACACTCACCCACTCACACACTCAGCCTTACACTCACACACTTACCCATACTCACCCTTACACTCACCCTTACACTCACCCACTCACACACTCAACCTTACACTAACCCACTCACTCATACTCACTCATACACTAACGCACTCACCCGTACTCACTCACCCATAATCACCCTAATACTCAACCACTCACACACTCGCCCGTACTCGCCCACCCAGTTGCTCTCTCTCACACACAAAAGATAAAGATCCCCCAAAAAGCCTTAACAAACTGTTGGGGAAAGTGCTGTTAGCGAGCACCTATGAAGCCCGACACAACACATAAAGGAATGGTGTGGCCAGACGCCTTTGTCTCCCTCGTGGCGATGATTACACACCGCAACAGGTACCCATTTGAGGCTGAGCCGACCTAGGGGAGGCCCAGGAGCGGTTCAGATATTCGTCACCGGTGTTGGCAGCCGTGAGCGGGAATCGAACTCAGGTCGGCGGGTTCGTAGCGGGAGGCGCACACCGCCGGACTGCCGCTCGCACGCACGTCCACACCCGCTCAGCCGCTCACCCGCTCACCCGCTCGCCCACACCCGCTCACCCGCTTGCCCACACCCGCTCAGCCGCTCACCCGCTCACCCGCTCGCCCACACCCGCTCACCCGCTTGCCCACACCCGCTCAGCCGCTCGCCCACACCCGCTCAGCCGCTCGCCCGCTCACCCACTCAGCCGCTCGCCCGCTCACCCACTCAGCCGCTCGCCCACACCCGCTCACCCGCTCGCCCACACCTGCTCACCCGCTCAGCCGCTCACCCGCTCGCCCACACCCGCTCAGCCGCTCGCCCGCTCACCCACTCACCCGCTCGCCCGCTCACCCGCTCAGCCGCTCGCCCGCTCACCCACTCAGCCGCTCGCCCTCGCTCACCTTCTCCTCCTGGAAGAGGCGCAGGTTCTCGGGCGAGGCATACACCGCCTGGCCGGTCGCGAGCAGCTTGTTCCGCCCAAACGGCTTCGACACGCGCACCACGTCCCCGCGGTGCCCGTAGCCTGCAGCGGCGACGAACCGCGACGTCCACATTCCACGTTCCCGTGACGGGGACCAAGTACATCGTGGGTGCAAGCAAGCGCTGGTGGCCTCGCACGCGGTGGTGCTGTGAGTTCTGGCGACCGGGCTGCTGCTGCTGCTGCCGCCGAGATGATGACATCGATGCTGACGACGATGTTGCTGCTATGATGGTGATGGCAACGACGATGACGACGATGGCAATGATGATATTGATGAGGATGACAACGTTGCCAATAATGACGGTGGTGGTGGCGATGACGATGCCGATGCCCAGCACAGTCTCACCGCAGGTTTGACCCCCCCTTCTCCACCACTTGATCGCGATGACCGTCAACACCTCATCACCATGAAGGTGGCAGTACAGCAATGGACTACATGTATCTGTGCGGAGCTTTGAATGTCACCCTCTCGTATAAACCTGTGGTGGGTGCTCTACATTATTAATTAATGGAATTCATTCATTAATGGGATTCATGGCCAAATATTCCAGCGTGGCGGAACACTCCCTTAGTCCAAGAGCGCCCCACCAGATATTTCACTTGTGAGTACGGTGCGCGAAAGAAGTTCAACGCACGTACAAATCTCTAGCGGGTTCCAATTTCCATCATGCAGCCAAATAACAGCCAACTGTACGATAACCCCCCAACCCACCCCCCCACTTATCAAATAATTCACTCCGACTGGCCGTATAAATTGTATCGGCTGCTCCTGACGTTACACCAAATTTAGCGGGTACCGATTTCTGCTCCGGTCCACGGACCCGCCACCCCCCCCCCGTCCCCCCTTTCCTGAGTGCGAGTCTTGGGACTCGGGGTCTCACCGGGGACCCGGCGCGTCAGGATGAGCTCCAGGAGGTCCTTGGGCCGCGTCTTGGTATCCTCCACGAAGCGGTAGACGCGGTGGCGCGACGTGAGGCGCGGGGGCTTGCCGAGCTTCGCCAGCGGCACCGGCCACCAGCGCTCCACGATCACCAGCGTCTGCCGGGGGTGGGGGGGTCGGGTCGTGGCAGAGCGGCGGCCGCGGCGGGGCGCACCAGTTTAAGCCACACGACCGCTACGCGTCCCCCCCGCATCTCCGATTCCGCGCGGTCGGTCGACGTGCGGTGCGAAAGAAGTTCAGCGGTGCGTGCTCCGCCACGCCGGTTAGGGCACACGCTGGGCAGGTGCCACACCAACCACACACACCATGTCAAGGCACACACGGGTCATGTTCCAAACCACCACGGCACACCACGGCACACCACACCGAGTTAAGGCGGCACACGCTGTGCTGAACCACCAAACCGGGCAGTTCACAAACACTTCTCCTTCTGCTTCTTCCCGCGCACGACTCCACTCCGGAATAGTCTCCTATCATCGCTCTCTGCAAGCCCTTTTATATTTACATTACGTACGAAATGTGTTTTTAATCTTGCTCAATTCAAGACACTTGTTAACGATTATCCATTGCAACTCTGACAGTGCTGTTTGTTGCTGGCTGCTTGACATTATGACCCTCTTGGCCTCTGCTCAGCAACCGTAATAACAAACTGACGCCACACTACACCAAGACACAAGCAATTACCACACCAACCCAGAGCAGAAACACTTCAATTACCACACAATCCCAGAGCAGAAACACTTCAATTACCACACAATCCCAGAGCAGAAACACTTAAATTACCACACAATCCCAGAGCAGAAACACTTCAAATACCACACCACCCCAGAGCAGTAACACTTCAAATGCCATCGGAACAACACCAGTCATCCTTTACTCCATTCCATACCACGCAGATAAGAAAAGATAAATAAAGCATAATGCCACATCCCACATGAAGCCAGTAAGACGCCAGATTGACACCAAACTACGCTAGACACAACAACATTCACCACACTGGTGCCACCACGTCACAGACACCACACTGTTAGCACCACGCCACACAGACGCCACACCATTCACCACACAGACACCACACCATTCACACTGGTAGCACCACGCCACAGAGACACCACACCATTCACCACACAGGCACCACACATACACCATTCACCACACAGACACCATTCACCACACAGACACCACACCATTCACACTGGTGGCACCACACCACACAGACGCCACACCATTCACTACACAGGCACCACACATACACCATTCACCACACAGACACCACACCATTCACACAGACACCACACCATCACCACACCATCACCACACTATCACCACACCATCACCACACCATCACCACACTATCACCACACCATCACCACACTACCACCACAACATCACCATACTATCACCACATCACCACAACATCACCACACCATCACCACACTATCACCACAACATCACCACAACATCACCACAACATCACCACACCATCACCACACTATCACCACAACAACACCACAACATCACCACAACATCACCACACTAGCACCACACTATCACCACAACATCACCACACTATCACCACACTATCACCACACAGGCACCACACAGGCACCACACTATCACCACAACATCACCACAACATCACCACACTATCACCACACTATCACCACAACATCACCACACTATCACCACAACATCACCATACTATCACCACATCACCACAACATCACCACAACATCACCACACCATCACCACACTATCACCACAACATCACCACAACATCACCACACCATCACCACACTATCACCACAACAACACCACAACATCACCACAACATCACCACACTATCACCACACTATCACCACACCATCACCACACCATCACCACACCATCACCACACAGGCAGTATCAACACTATCACCACACCACAACATCACCACACCGGCAGTCTCAACACCACACAGGCACCACACTATCACCACACCACACCACATCGGAAGTATCAACACCACACCACATCACCACACTATCACCACAACATCACCACACCGACAGTATCAACACCACACAGGCACCACACCATCACCACACCGGCAGTATCAACACCACACTATCACCACACCACACCATCACCACACCATCACCACACCGGCAGTATCAACACCACACTATCACCACAACAACACCACACCGGCAGTATCAACACCACACCACATCACCACACTATCACCACACCATCACCACACTATCACCATCACCACAACATCACCACACCGGCAGTATCAACACCACACTATCACCACACTATCACCACACCACACCATCACCACACCACACTATCACCACACCATCACCACACTATCACCACACCATCACCACACCGGCAGTATCAACACCACACTATCACCACACTATCACCACACCATCACCACACCGGCAGTATCAACACAACACTATCACCACACTATCACCACACCACAACATCACCACACCAACACCACACTATCACCACACCATCACCACACCGGCAGTATCAACACCACACTATCACCACACTATCACCACACCACAACATCACCACACCATCACCACACTATCACAACATCACCACACCGGCAGTATCAACACAACACTATCACCACATCACCACACCATCACCACACTATCACCACATCACCACACCATCATCACACCACCGCACACCGGCAGTATCAACACCACACCACACCGGCAGTATCAACACCACACCACATCATCACCACACCGGCAGTATCAACACCACACCACATCACCACACTATCACCACACCGGCAGTATCAACACCACACCACATCACCACACTATCACCATCACCACACCACACTATCACCACACAATCACCACACCGGCAGTATCAACACCACACCACATCACCACACTATCACCACACCATCACCACACCACATCACCACACTATCACCATCACCACACCGGCAGTATCAACACCACACTATCACCATCACCACACCGGCAGTATCAACACCACACCACATCACCACACTATCACCACACCATCACCACATCACCATCACCACACCGGCAGTATCAACACCACGGCCACGTGCGCCGACCACGCAGAGGGCATCGGCTCGACCCCCGCCTGGAGCCGTAGCTGCCATTCTTCTCCCTCCCCACCGCAAGGCCCCACGTTAACTCTCACGCACAACAACAAGAACAACAAGAAACACTTTCGCGAACGTCACACGGCTACGAGTGAAACGAACGTAACATCAAAGCTCACGGATTTTGTTTTTCAAAGTATAAATTTAAACGCTCGCGGTCACCTCGACTCTAAGCTGGCAGGCCTAGGCGACCCGAATTTGTCGACTATTTTTTTTGTTGTCAATCATTAATTGTAAACCCTCACGATTAAAACATTGCCCCCTTTTTTGTGTCAATCTATTTAATTCTCGATCCCCGAGGCCGCGGCGCTCTCACCCTGGGGCACTGCTGAGCGAACTGCCCGCGCCGTGCCGCGCGTGTGAGCAGCGGGGCGAGGAGTCGGCAGGCGAACAGGGGCGACATGGCCGGGCTCTGCGGAGATGCGGGGCTCGGAGGTCGGGCCCGGGGGGCTAGGCAAGGCGTGGCTTAGTTAGGCCGGGCCCGGAGGGCTAGGCGAGGCGTGGCTTAGTTAGGCCGGGCCCGGGGGGCTAGGCAAGGCGTGGCTTAGTTAGGCCGGGCCGGGCCTGGCTTGGCTAGGCAAGGCGTGGCTTAGTTAGGCCGGGCCGGGCCCGGGGGGCTAGGCGAGGCGTGGCTTAGTTAGGCCGGGCCGGGCCTGGCTTGGCTAGGCAAGGCCTGGCTTAGTTAGGCCGGGCCTGGCTTGGCTAGGCGAGGCCTGTCTAGGTTAGGCCAGGCCTGCCTAGGCAGTTTGTTAGTGTTGCAATGGCTAGGCCACGACTGGCTAGGTAGAGAGTTAGTGTTATAATGGCTAGGCCAGGACTGGCTAGTAGAGAGTTAGTGTTATAATGGCTAGGCCAGGACTGCCTAGGCAGTTAGTGTTGCAATGGCTAGGCCAGGACTGGCTAGGTAGAAAGTTAGTGTTATAATGGCTAGGCCAGGACTGGCTAGGTAGAGAGTTAGTGTTATAATGGTTAGGCCAGGACTGGCTAGGTAGAAAGTTAGTGTTATAATGGCTAGGCCAGCCTGCCTAGGTAGAGAGTGTTATAATGGTTAGGCCAGGACTGCCTAGGCAGTTAGTGTTGCAATGGCTAGGCCAGGACTGGCTAGGTAGAAAGTTATTGTTATAATGGCTAGGCCAGGACTGGCTAGTAGAGAGTTAGTGTTACAATGGCTAGGCCAGGACTGGCTAGGTAGAAAGTTAGTGTTATAATGGTTAGGCCAGTACTGGCTAGGTAGAGAGTGTTATAATGGTTAGGCCAGTACTGGCTAGGTAGAGAGTGTTATAATGGCTAGGCCAGGCCTGCCTAGGTAGAGAGTTAGTGTTATAATGGCTAGGCCAGGCCTGCCTAGGTAGAGAGTTAGTGTTATAATGGTTAGGCCAGGACTGGCTAGTAGAGAGTTAGTGTTATAATGGCTAGGCCAGGCCTGCCTAGGCAATTAGTGTTACAATGGCTAGGCCAGGCCTGCCTAGGTAGAGAGTTAGTGTTATAATGGTTAGGCCAGGACTGGCTAGGCTAAGCCAGGCTAGGCCAGGCCTGCCTAGCTAGGCTAAGCCAGGCCTGCCTAGGCAGTGAGTCAATGTTATAATGGCTAGACCAGGCCTGCCTAGGCAGAGACTTAATTTCTTTGGTTCTTTCGGTAAAGACACGTAGAATTAGAATACAATAATACATTAATAAAATAAAATAACACATAAAAAATGTGTTAACAAAATATTGTGTTATTTTATTAATTTATTATTTTATTCTCATTCTACGTGACTTTACCGAAAGAACCAAAGAAGATGAATCCTTGCAGTCACGAAAGCTTTAAATCGAAACAGAGACTTATTGTTATAATGGCTAGACCAGGTCTGCCTAGGCTAATCCAGGCCTGGCTAGGTCAGGCCAAGCTAAGCCACGTCTGGCCTGGCTAAGCTCGGCCTGCCTCCGAGTCACACCACGAGGTTAACTTCTCCACCAGTGGCGTTTGCATTAACGGAACATCATCTCTCGTGTGTGATTTGTCTCGCTCGGTCGCACCTGGGCGGTATGGTACTATTAGCCTAATTACATTTAAAATAAAAGATGGAACGTAAATTAAAGGATTTCCATTAAAAATGGGGGGGGCGGGGGGCACCCCCTGCCTGCCCCGGGCTCGTTACTTATGACACTAAGTCACTACGGATTCAACTCTCTACTCATTACTTATGGTGAGAACTCTCTCCTATGAATTAAAGTCTACAAAGCATTAAACTCTACGAATTCGGCCAAATACCCTCTGGCCACTCCGTGCCCGTAAAATAAAATTCGCACATGTATTATAGGCGCCGTTTCGAAGCGATGATCCTTCACAGAATAATTGTCATAACTGTCAACCCATACGGTGTACCCGTATTCTTGTACAGGGAAATTGAGTTTATCCAACAATACGGGCTTTGTAGGATGAACGTTGAGATTTATAAGGGCACAGGGTGACCAATAAGGTCTGAATTGGCCTGTAATAAGGTAGGGCACTGCTAAGGGTTGACAGGTATGAATTGTCTATATTCATATGTTGGTGAAACATCACAGACGCCCAGAATAATAAACACCTCGTTCGAGATCCAAACATCATCATCGCACCTCCTCCTGGCTTTCACATTCGTCATCCCCGAAGACGCCGGTGGTGTCACCATCACCCGCATCATCAGAACATCAGCAGCAGGCCGATGCGTGCATCTCCTTCATGAATGGGAAAATAAAGCCACAAGCAACGGGGGTAAGATTGTGACCATGCAACCCAAACTATGGACCATATAGTAAACCCACAGAGACCCAGAGAGACATACAGAGACCCATATAGATCAATTAAAGACAAGCCACAGTGGTGCGATTGTGGCCATGCAAGCCAAACTATTGACCATATTGTAAACCCACAGACTAAAAGAGACCCATATAGAGACAGAGACCCTGAGAGACACATTAAAGACAAGCCAAATTCATAGTGTGATTATGGCCACGAAACCCAAACTATAGACCATATTGTAAACCCATTGAGACATACGGAGACCCACAGAGATCCATTAAAGACGAGCCACATTAATAGTGCGATTGTGGCCACGAAACCCAAACTATAGACCATATTGTAAACCCATTGAGACACACGGAGACCCACAGATATCCATTAAAGTCGAGCCACATTAATAGTGCGATTGTGGCCAGGTAAAGCAAACTATAGACCATATAGTAAACCCATAGAGACACATAGAGACATACAGATCCATTAAAGACAAGCCTCGTTCCGTAGTGCGATTGTGGTCGTGCCACACAAACTATGGATCTCACTACGGTCTGCGCTCCTTCAACGGAGGAGGAACAACGACACGAACTCTCTCTCTCTCTGTGCCGAAGCCCTCTCTGATCGTGGCCAGCAGACCTCGACATTGGCATCTGTATGTGTGTGTGTCGACCCTATTTCGCACCGTACGTGGCCAACCGTGCTAATCGGAAGGTGCGGGGGGAGTACAACAAACTAAACACAAAAAGCAGTTTCTAAAGAATCGAGTTTGTTCATCCAGATGCTGATTTAAAAGTTGTACAGCTCAATACCGGATTAAGCTAGTGCGGGGCCTGTAGCATGATGTTATAAAGGGGCCCTAAATAAAAAAAAAACATAAATATTAAAACACACATTTGTAACTTGCATAGTAAAGTTATTCTATTTATTCATTTGATATACAGCCAGATAATACGACAAATCGCTAACCTTAAACACCCAGTCGTTTGTAAAAGTTAAAGGCGGTATAGTACTGTAGTAATAGAGCAAGTGCGGAATCACTGAACCGGGATTGATATCTTTAAAGCGTTCAGCGCGGGGCCCTTAAAAGTGCGGGGCCCCTAGCATGTGTAGCTACTTTTGCTACTACGCTAATCCGTCACTGGCACAGCTGCCAGTAGCTTCCTAATATCGGAAGGGGCGAGCGTTCCAGACGGCCAGCGGAAGCGCATCTGAAAGCGCCGCGCGACGCGGTGCGACCGCCGTCTTCGATGGCTTAAGCCGAAAGCCGCAGCCGCCGCTGCCGCTGCTGCTGCTGTTGTTGTTGCTGGGAGAATGCTGCCAGTAGCTTCCTAATATCGGAAGGGGAGAGCGTTCCAGACGGCCAGCAGAAGCGCATCTGAAAGCGCCGCGCGACGCGGTGCGACCGCAGTCTTCGTTCGATGGCTTAAGCCGAAAGCCGCAGCAGCCGCCGCTGCTGCTGCTGCTGCTGTTGTTGTTGTTGTTGCTGGGAGAATGCTGCCAGTAGCTTCCTAATATCGGAAGGGGAGAGCGTTCCAGACGGCCAGCAGAAGCGCATCTGAAAGCGCCGCGCGACGCGGTGCGACCGCAGTCTTCGTTCGATGGCTTAAGCCGAAAGCCGCAGCCGCCGCTGCCGCCGCTGCTGCTGTTGTTGCTGGGAGAATGCTGCCAGTAGCTTCCTAATATCGGAAGGGGAGAGCGTTCCAGACGGCCAGCAGAAGCGCATCTGAAAGCGCCGCGCGACGCGGTGCGACCGCAGTCTTCGTTCGATGGCTTAAGCCGAAAGTCGCAGCCGCCGCTGCTGCTGTTGTTGTTGTTGCTGCTGGGAGAATGCTGCCAGTAGCTTCCTAATATCGGAAGGGGAGAGCGTTCCAGACGGCCAGCAGAAGCGCATCTGAAAGCGCCGCGCGACGCGGTGCGACCGCCGTCTTCGTTCGATGGCTTAAGCCGAAAGTCGCAGCCGCCGCTGCTGCTGTTGTTGTTGTTGCTGCTGGGAGAATGCTGCCAGTAGCTTCCTAATATCGGAAGGGGAGAGCGTTCCAGACGGCCAGCAGAAGCGCATCTGAAAGCGCCGCGCGACGCGGTGCGACCGCAGTCTTCGTTCGATGACTTAAGCCGAAAGCCGCAGCCGCCGCTGCTGCTGTTGTTGTTGTTGCTGCTGGGAGAATGCTGCCAGTAGCTTCCTAATATCGGAAGGGGAGAGCGTTCCAGACGGCCAGCAGAAGCGCATCTGAAAGCGCCGCGCGACGCGGTGCGACCGCCGTCTTCGTTCGATGGCTTAAGCCGAAAGTCGCAGCCGCCGCTGCTGCTGTTGTTGCTGCTGGGAGAATGCTGCCAGTAGCTTCCTAATATCGGAAGGGGAGAGCGTTCCAGACGGCCAGCAGAAGCGCATCTGAAAGCGCCGCGCGACGCGGTGCGACCGCCGTCTTCGTTCGATGGCTTAAGCCGAAAGCCGCTGCCGCTGCTGCTGCTGTTGTTGCTGCTGGGAGAATGCTGCCAGTAGCTTCCTAATATCGGAAGGGGAGAGCGTTCCAGACGGCCAGCAGAAGCGCATCTGAAAGCGCCGCGCGACGCGGTGCGACCGCCGTCTTCGTTCGATGGCTTAAGCCGAAAGCCGCTGCCGCTGCTGCTGCTGTTGTTGCTGCTGGGAGAATGCTGCCAGTAGCTTCCTAATATCGGAAGGGGAGAGCGTTCCAGACGGCCAGCAGAA